ATGAAAATTAACGTAAACAAGCCAAACATTACGAGTGAATGCTTTCTTCGTAAAGAATACATTTTAACAATAAATCTCTATTGTTATTTTTCGTTTATTATTGTATTTCATTCTTATGAATTTTAGAAAAATTTACATTCATATACTTTTATTTTGCGTGTTTTTAGTACGAAGACGTTTTCCAAAAATATAACCTAAAGAAAACATTTAACGAGCCTTTTGAAACCAATCAAATATACAAAACATATTGGCTTTCTCAAGGATCGTTCTGCAAATGAATTCATAAAAAAGTTATCAAAATACGATAAAATATATAAATATTTTTAAAGTAAATATCTTTATAAAATTGTAAATGGTAGCAATACGAGGCTCCACGCAGGTTACTAATTCTTCACTAGATGAGCTTAAGAACGTTTATTATAGAAAAGTATTCATTGAACAAAATTTGTCGCGATGATATTAAACGAGGTAAGTCTGGTGTAAGAATCGAATACGTGTTTGTACTGGGAGATTGAATCTGACTATACGGAGCCTGACCACACGTTTATCTTTAGATCATGATTTGAACTATGGCAGTCGGCAACCCTAAGAAGCTTTATTTATACTCTGATATATTAATTGATTTACTCCAATTACGTTAGATTGTATTACATTCGCGTTTCGAAATTACAAACGAATACCACAGACTGTATATTAGTACCTCTCATTAGGAAATCTTTCAGAAATGCATTATAAAATTTTAATATTCCATCATTACGATATTAAAAATTTAATACAATCTTTGCCATGCACGTGTTATTCTATAATAGACGCAGAATCACCGAACAAAAGATAAATTTTCGGCTTTATATCTTTATTTTAAACCCGGCTTCAACCTCGGATGAGACAGCTGCCTCCGAGGATCTGTATTACGTTACGGAAACTGCTCTTGACGAAGCTCTGAATACTCCTCCCAGTGGCCCGTTATTCTATGGGCAAAAAGGGTAATTACCTAAAGCACCCACCAACAGGGAGCCCCAAACCAATATTTTATAAGAAAACACTTTCTTCCGATATCTGAAGTCAACGCTGTGCATGGGGCCCGTAATTCAAATTCACCTGGGTCCCATGAAGCTATAACACGCCACTGACTCCTCCTGTGGGTCTTCGCTAATGTGACCAGACGTCCCGAATTAGGCGGAACAGTTCGGCTTTTTAATATCCAATTTATAGAAACAATGGTTAAGGGTGCGACTGTAGAGAGCGAGAGTTGCGAACGATATACTTCTTGCAAAGGAAAACCATGCACAAGCGAGAAAAGAGAAATCTCGCTGGCGAGAGAGAATTTCTGGATCTCGCTAGGTTTGATATTTATCGCGTCTTGCTCCTTCTAGCCGCATATTATCGCTCGCTCGCGTCTGCATTAACTGCCAATTGCCCAGTCGACAGGAATCGATCACGTGACTCATCTGTTATCGCGTAGGAGCGCCCAGCCTTACAACTTGAGTCACTCATACATTATGCTTAATATAATATAGAAGTGAAACATTATTAAACGAAAATAATAATAAATAATAATTGCTATAATATTTTTATTATGAAGATTATTACGATTATTTATTTATAAGTTCTAACGAAAAAGATAGTTTAAAATAAAGTTTTCCAAGATCTATTGCAGCTTCGGTAATACGAGAAACAGACGAACAGATTTCAAATAATAAATAAACTAAATAATAGACGATAGTCACGAAAAAGGACAAATCCCCTATTTTGAATGGCTAATGAAATGGAAAATACTTAGATCGATCAAAACATTGCCACCTACTAAAACTATCCAGAGAAACACAGGCTAACTAGAGAAAATATATCTCGAATACTATTTATTCTATTTACAACTTCCATATATGATTTTATAGTGCACGAAATAATAGAGAGGTTGCGGCCGACGTTTTCATCGCGAAAACGTCTACGTCGGACGTAAACGCCTTCCTGTAAGCCTAGAAGTTTGACAATGCCGTTTGGAACGTCTGTGGAATCATGTTCGACGTTCCAAACGCCATTGTCAAACTTCTAGGCTTACAGGAAGGCGGCGCTGAACGTCCGACGTAGACGTTTTCGCGATGAAAACGTCGGCCGCAACCTCGCTATTATTTACTGTTAAACTAATATCATTAGCCATTAAGTTGCCAGTTGGATATGTATTTTATCCATTTGTGTTTTACTATCTTGATTGCAAATTAAGTAATATTGTATAAAAAAAATCTGTCTTAAAACTTTTAGAAAATTAGAATGTTTAATTGTTTTTTTTTAATCAATATATTTATACTGTATTATGAATGTGGATCTTTATACTGTATTATGTAATTAAGCTGTGTCAATATCAGCATTCTATGTTAATATTGATATATTAATATAGCCTAATTTACCCCACTTTTTCTAAAGAAAATAACATATTTCGTTAAATTGAAGATTCAAAATTCGAAACAAATTGTAATTGCTTTAATTTTATTTAATATCTAATTTTTGTGGAACAATTTCACAGTTTTTGATATTATCTTAATAGGAATTTTAGCCAGGAAAGTTATCGAATATCTACGCGAAAATAACTCTTTTCTCGAAGAATATATCATGAGGTACATAGACGTGGATACGTTAGAGCGTTGGTGGACTCGAAAAATCCAAAAAATGCAGAAACAATCGAAATCCGCGGAACCTGCAAAAAGTAAGTGATATAAATCAATAATCAGAAACCGGTATTAAATGTGTGTGTAAATACTGTAGGCCTACTTCATGGATGCATTTTTCTTTTTTTTTTTCAAATAAATTAAGATTCTCATTCCAATTAGGTTAAAATACTAGAGGAGAAGGTGGTATTATGGAACCCCAATTACATTTTAGTGAATTGTAAACAAGGTATCATAACTACACCCACATTTTTTGTGCAAAAAGTACTTGTAACTATTAATTAAACTAAATGTTCCTAATTGGATTTTTCGTTAGTGTAACTATAAGTATGGTTTTTGAANATTAATAACGAGTAAAATCGTCATTAGAGAGGTTGCAGCCGACGTTTTCATCGCGAAAACGTGTACGTCAGACGTTCAGCGCCGCTTTCCTGTAAGCTTAGAAGTTTGACAATGGCGTTTGGAACGTCGAGCATGATTTCAATGACGTTCCAAACGCCATTGGCAAACTTCTAGGCTTACAGGAAGACAGCGCTGAACGTCTGACGTACACGTTTTTGCGATGAAAACGTCGGCCGCAACCTCTCTATTAAGTGTAACCCTACTGGAAACTAAACACGACCCCCTTTATCGCTCCATCTCTCGACCTTTAATCGCAAAACTTTAATAGCATCAAACCCCGTAATAGAGAGGTTGCGGCCGAAGTTTTCATTTCTAAAACGTGAACGTCGAACGTCGAGCGCCGCTTACAAGATAGCGGCGCTTGGACGAAATCTCCCTGCAAAATATCAAAAATTTCTGACAGAAAGCACAGGAGTTATTAAGCTTTAAAGAGGGTGAACAAAATAGGTTCTCCCACATACACAAACATCCATACATACAGAAACCCCCCATTTTTGCATCTCTCGACGTTTCAAAGTCCACCGAGTCCGTCCGAAAATACAAAAGTCTTGAGGGGATAATTTTTTGACCGATCTCCATTCATTTTTGGACCCTGAGACCTTGAATTGTCGAGAAATGAGAAAAAAGTTGAGAATTTTTTTTGTGTGTACGGATATTAGTGTGTGTGAAGGAAGCAGGATTTTATTCGCCCACTTTAAAGCTTAATAAGTCCTATTCCTTTAGTTGAACATTTCTGAAATTTTGTAGAGCTGTTTGTATATTAGAGGGATAGATGCTGTTAAATTTTGGTGGTGAAATTTCAAAGGATGGGGAAATAAAAGGAGGGATGTGTGTTGGAGTTAATGAAGATTTTACTGGTTATTAGTATTTACATTTTTTAAAACTCATTTCTACCCTCAAAATTAGACTTTTTTACAATTTTATAATAATTATAATATAAAAGTTTTTAATAAAATAACACCAAGTTATTTTGCCGGGAAAGTTATTAAACTCGTTACTAGATTTATACATGACAGAAACAGTTGTTCTGTTCCATACAATTGATAGACTAACTTATAATTACATTAATAAAATGTATAGATTATTCTATTATAGAGAAAAATTTCCTCGATTAATTTATCCGCAAATATTATATATGCTTCACAGAAAAACATTTAATTTAATATATAAAATGGTAAAGACGAGTTGAGTTAAAACGTCCGTCTTTATATTCACATAAGATTATTATTTTACCTCTTATAAACTAATGATCTTAACTAAAACAATAAAAATCTACTGAATAAGTAGACAAAGAATATTGCTATTAACATTTTTTTAAAAGAAAAACAAAATGTTAATAGCAATATTGAACTCTCGAAATGGTTTTTCAACCACTGTAAATATAACTTATTCTCCATCTTATGATAAAATCTTGTAATTGAATATTATACACTATTTTACTGAAAGAAAAAATATATCACGAATAACTAATTTATCAATATTAGAGAAAAGTAAATTATACCCTTCTGTAAATAGTTTAATCGTCTATTGTTTTCATCACATTTCGTTAATACTTTTCAGTAGTAAAATAAAATATAAGTAATAATATTGTTAAAAAATTTTACTACCGTTATTATCAGTGGCACGTCACGTAATGTGGAATAATGGCAATTGCCTGGGGGGCCCCATCAACAAGGGGCCCTAAACCAAACTTTTATAAGAAAGTGCTTTCCCAAAAAATTTCTGAAGCCAACACTGTATTGTACAATACTGTACTATACACGGGGCCCTCTCTAATTCAAATTCTCCTGAGCTTCAAGAAGCTATAACACGCTTCTGGTTATTAATTTTTTTTTAAAGATTTTTAAACATAAAACTAAATTTAATTTCATTTCTAATTAGTTTAAGTTATTATTGAGCTCTTCGAAATTATTTTTCCTCTGTTAGTTTCAACTAATGTCTATAATTTTAGATCGAGAATTGCGTAAAAATGCTCTTCCTCGAAGTAATGTGAGTATCTATCATATTTACTTAACTTTATTTATTATATTTTACATAAAAATTTAAAGTGTGAAACGTAATTTTAGTTCCAAACGAATGCAAAAATGCTTCAAGAACTTACTAAAAGTATATTTTCGAAATCAAATAAAATGCAAATTTTATCCGAATTGTCTCGAACGATTGCTACTGCAGTAAATGCATCTAATTGGAATTTATTCTACTGCGAACAACCTCTACAAGTAAGATTTATATCAAGGAATAGAGAGGTTGCGGCCGAAGTTTTCATCTCTCAAACGTGAACGTCGAACGTCGACGTTTGACGTTCACGTTTGAGAGATGAAAACTTCGGCCGCAACCTCGCTAATAACTCTTTTCTCTTAATTAAAGAATATATTTATATATTTATTTATTTTTGTATTTAGCTGTTGTATACGTGGTGCGCCTCGTACTTCAAATTTAATTCATTTCAAGAGGTCCACCGTGTATCTTAATAATTGTATTAGATAATTAACATTAATTAATTTTTCTTACAGAAAATTTATTCTTTTGATCCAGAAGACAATATATTAAAGTAATTAAACATTTATTTCTTTATTAAATTAATTTATAGTCTATTATAGTTTGAGTTTTAAAATTTAGGGAAATATCCGCATCGGAAAATAATTCTTCTTTGGCTATTTATGTAGCCAAAACGAAGAAAGTAATTCGAACAAACATATACCAGATAGTAAGTTGATTATATTTTTAATTTAAACATTAATATATTATTAAATTACATAAGTAAACATCACTCTGACTTTTGATAAGTCAATCCCTATTTTCAAATGCGTTTACAACGTTGATAATGTTGTATGCACTAACTTATACCAGATTTTATTTATGCGGGTGACTAATGATACTCACCTGGAAGGATGTTACACATGCAAACCTGCGAAATAAAAAAGTACAGCAACGAGTTGCTTAACTTTCCCGGCAACAATTGGTGGCGCCATCTGTTACGATATTTATTATTAAAAACTTTTTATATTTTTAATTATTATAAAATGGCAAAAAGCTTAATTTTGAGGATAGGAATGGGTTTTATAAAATAAAAAAAAAAAAATTGTAAATGCTAATAACGAGTAAAATCGGCATTAAGTCCGATCTTACTGGAGATCCCACACGACCTTCTTTATCTCCCTTCCTCGTTGATATTTTACCATCAAAATTTAACAGCACCAATCCCTCTAATACACAAACCTCCCTGCAAAATTTCAGAAAATTTCGACAAAAAGCACAGGAGTTATTAAGCTTGGAAGAGGCCACAGACGAGCTGGCCACGTGGAATTTTCCGGGTTTTCTTTACGTCCGTAACACTCAAATAGGGGCCAACAACCTTTAAAAAGACCTTTCGGTAGGCATTTGTTTTGGATAAATATTTTCTGAAATTTTGCAGGGAGGTTTGTATATTAGGGAGATTGATTCCATTAAATTTTGATGGTTAAATGGTGGGGAGGTAAAGGGGGTCATTTGTTGTATCTCGAGTAGGGTAGCAAGCACTTAATAACGATTTTACATGTTATTAACATTTACAATTTTATATAAAATTTATTCCTACCGTCAAAATTAAGCTTTTTGCCATTTTATAATAATTAAAAANATGATGATGTGATACTAAAATCAAAATTTCTTTGTCCTTTAACAATATATACTGCAATGAGTTACTTAACTTTCCCCGCAACATTTTGTGTCGCTATTTGTTACTATATTTTATTACAGTATTATAAAATGGCAAAAAGCTTAATTTTGAGAATAAGAATGGATTTCATACAAATTAATAACGAGTAAAATCGTCATTAGAGAGGTTGCAGCCGACGTTTTCATCGCGAAAACGTGTACGTCAGACGTTCAGCGCCGCTTTCCTGTAAGCTTAGAAGTTTGACAATGGCGTTTGGAACGTCGAGCATGATTTCAATGACGTTCCAAACGCCATTGGCAAACTTCTAGGCTTACAGGAAGACAGCGCTGAACGTCTGACGTACACGTTTTTGCGATGAAAACGTCGGCCGCAACCTCTCTATTAAGTGTAACCCTACTGGAAACTAAACACGACCCCCTTTATCGCTCCATCTCTCGACCTTTAATCGCAAAACTTTAATAGCATCAAACCCCGTAATAGAGAGGTTGCGGCCGAAGTTTTCATTTCTAAAACGTGAACGTCGAACGTCGAGCGCCGCTTACAAGATAGCGGCGCTTGGACGAAATCTCCCTGCAAAATATCAAAAATTTCTGACAGAAAGCACAGGAGTTATTAAGCTTTAAAGAGGGTGAACAAAATAGGTTCTCCCACATACACAAACATCCATACATACAGAAACCCCCCATTTTTGCATCTCTCGACGTTTCAAAGTCCACCGAGTCCGTCCGAAAATACAAAAGTCTTGAGGGGATAATTTTTTGACCGATCTCCATTCATTTTTGGACCCTGAGACCTTGAATTGTCGAGAAATGAGAAAAAAGTTGAGAATTTTTTTTTTGTATGTATGGATATTAGTGTGTGTGGAGGAGGCAGGATTTTATTCGCCCACTTTAAAGCTTAATAAGTCCTATTCCTTTAGTTGAACATTTCTGAAATTTTGTAGAGCTGTTTGTATATTAGAGGGATAGATGCTGTTAAATTTTGGTGGTGAAATTTCAAAGGATGGGGAAATAAAAGGAGGGATGTGTGTTGGAGTTAATGAAGATTTTACTGGTTATTAGTATTTACATTTTTTAAAACTCATTTCTACCCTCAAAGTCTACACATACTGA